AGAGAGAGAGAGAGAGAGAAAGAAAAAAAGGGCAAGGAAGAAGGGACAAATTGGGAAAAAGTCGATTGCCTTGAGGGAGAGGAAGATGGCACGAGAAGATCCGAAACTAGAGACAGAGTGGGAAGAATACTCGAGTATAGAGAAGAGACACAGCGTTGATCGAATTGCGCGCGCGGCGAGGTGGTCCCATACTCTGCCAACGACGATGACGTTGCGACAGAGACCGTGCAAATTGCCTCAACGGACTGCGTTCGTTGTAGAGCGGTCCGTTCCCTCGTCTCGCTCGTGTTGCTATTTCTATTTCTACTTCTATTGGCAACCGCGCGAGTGGTAGTTTCGCTGCTGTTGCGCGAAATTACCTTCGGATCATCGGACACCTCTGACGCAGTCCGCAAAGCGTCTATCAGCAGTATCTATCTACTTATTTCACTAGCTGAACATCGAAATATCGTACCATTGCGAACAGACGAAGGTCAACGATCTCGTTAGAAAAATTGCGAAAATTGCTGTGCAACGAGTCGGGAGAGCTCTCCAAAAAACTACACGCCGAATCTCTCGATATAAATTTATAAACTTTACTTGACTCTATGTACATACAAACAAATGGGCAAACACTCGGATGACGTTCGCTTCGGAGAACATTCTATTCCAGAATGTTGAGTTTGCTAGAGGTCTTTCTGAACTGAGCTCGTCACGGGATGATCTGCGCGTTGTCGTCGTCGTCGTCGTCGTCGTCGTCGTTGTCGCTTCGGAGAAGACTATTCCAGAATGTTGAGTTTGCTGGAGGTCTTTCTGAGCTGCGCTCGCCACGGGATAATCTGCGCCTCGTCGTCGTCGTCGTTGTCGTTGTCGTCGTCGTTGTCGCTTCGGAGAAGACTATTCCAGAATGTTAAGTTTGCTGGAGGTCTTTCTGAGCTGCGCTCGCCACGGGATAATCTGCGCCTCGTCGTCGTCGTCGTCATCGTCGTCGTCGTTCGTCCGGTCTGCTTGCGTCCCGTGATGCGAAGAAACGCTCGCGTCCGCGTTCTTCTTCTCCTCGACGTCCAGTTTCTCCTCTTGTCGATCGCGTCCGATGCGCGAGGATGGAATCGAAGATGGCGACGCGTCTTGCCTCGGTGCTGGAGTCGGTGCAGGTGTTGTCGTCGGCGTCGACATCGGTGTCACCGTCACCGTTGCGTCCATCTTGATTGCTTGGTTCAGTCTACCAGAAGCGAAAACTCGTGTTATCAAAGTATATTATCGACGCTACTATATACTACACTGCTCACAAAATTAGGAGGTACCGATATGATTTTTCGTTTCGTTCGATTGATCGTTGTTGTTCACTTTTGTTTCATTGGTGAAAATATAATACTATGCAAAAGGCTGAAAGTACTGGACTATAATATCCCCTAATTTTTGTAAGCAGTATAGTACACGCTATACATATTGTAGAAGTGAAGGAGTGACACTTTTAACTTATAAAGTTGGCCAAAAGTTTCTTCCCACATATTTTTTTTTTCCTCTGATAAAACAACAAAGATAAACATCAATTTTGTTAGTTTTAAGTTAAATTCAAGTTTCAAACGTGTGTTTTTTTTTTAAATTATTTCTGTCAAAAATTGAAGAAAATATATAATTAAAAAGTTAAAAGGGATTTATTTTAGTGGGAAGCAACCTTCCTGTATTTATTCTACCGTGATCAAGAATTACAGTTACAGTGTCAATTTAAAAGAGTGCTTTCTCTTTCCAGTTGTTTTTTTTTTTTTTTGTACTTGTGTGTTTTGTGGCAAATCAAAGGCAGGAGGGAGAAGATGACCAACTACTGGAACTTGATCATTCAAATCACACAGTTTCTGCTATTACTTTTATCAGATAGTTAATAACTTGTTACTTCTATCAGATTGCAGTGATCCATCAGATGGCAGAAAGTGTTGCCAATCGCAAAGTAGAAAAAAAAAAAGACAGACCTTCTTTCCTCGTTGTCCTTCTTGGCGAGGAGCTGCCTCTTCCAAGCGGGAATCGCTTTCTGCCGCCTCTCCTCGTTCTCCCTGGCGATCTGCTCCTCCAGCTCTTTCTTCGCTCGCTCGGCCGCCTTTCGCGCCAGCATTTGCCGTTTCCATATCGGTATCACGTTCCCGCAGCTGTCTTTCTCCGGGATCTTCCGGGACAAACAAAGGCAGGAGGTTCAAACTTCTGAGAAGAGAAAGGCGACGACGAAGCTCACCTGGTCGACGAAATTCGAAACGTTGAACGCCTTGTTGATCTCCGAGATAAGATTCTGCTCCTGCGTTTTCTCCACCTGCGCCATCTCAACCTTCAGCTTCTTGATGCCGGGTATGTCCTTGGTCCTCTTCAGTTCCGCGATCAAATCGGTCTTTTGAACGAAGAACGACTCTGAAACTAAGAGAGAGAGAGAGAGAGGAGGATGGATGATGGGCTCCTGAGGGCAGAGAGAAGGAGTAGAGAGCAACCTGCTCGAGGCCAACCTACCGTTGGTCATGGACACGCTGCGCGGCGGAGGCGCGGAGAACGTCTTGGTCGCGTTCATTTTGGTGCGTCGTAGCTGGATGCTGGTCAGATCTTGGATGCTGATGGTGGCCAGTGGCTGCGAGGCCGTTCTCGGCGAGTCGGGATCGGCGGTGGTCTCCTCGTTGCTTCGCGGCAGTCGGGATCTTCGTAGCGGTGACAACGGCGGTGGCGGTGGACAACCCGCGCTCGATTCCTTCCCTTCCTCGATCACCACCACCACCCTCCCTTCCGCATCTTCCTCCCTCTCACCCTCCACTCGTCTCGACGCAGGTTCCTCCGCTCCCTCCGACCTCGACGAGCCCTCTACTACTCTTCGATCGCCGCCTCTACTTTGTATGTCCAGATTGTCCACCGATCTGACAACAACAGTCAGTTTCCTTCGTCATGTTCCATTGTATGTCCAGATTGTCCAGCGATCGGACAACAACAACAAGTCAGTTTCCTTCGTCATATAACACACACACACACATACACACAGAGAGGTCTGTCGTCTGTCGTGTGTCGTCTGCAGAAAGTACCCAATAATGCCTTGCCGTAATAAGCAACGTTGACCCGATACTTGACCCCCACTACCTTACTTACAGTTACTACTGACCTGGTTTTCAACAAGCTGCTCTTGGACGAAATCTTGCAGATGCTCTTGAGATACTCGGACGGCTTGAGCAGGGTGTTGGAGTCCGCGTTGGCGAACTTGGGCGGTATGAACGGCAGCACCATGTGTTTGTTGACCAGATGGGACGTTTGGCTCGTCTTAATTTCCTCGGTGTCTGCCGGTGGACTGGCAGGCGGCACTTCCGGCTGCTGATGCTCGCCGCAGGATACGTCGGACTTGTTGACCGCTGTTCCGAAACAGAAACAGAGGTAGGGGAAGCGAATCACTCGTGTGGTGGCGAGTATACTTGCGATAGTAAGGGGCAAGTGAAATCTAGGTAAG